TGGTTCTGTACTCGGATAGCCATCGTAGCCCTACTGTACAAATACTTCAGCACTTCGATATACCGACAGTCTTCTTGGCACCACTGAAGGGACTGTAGCACCGCTCAAATTTCGACGGAATCAAAGGCTTTCTCGTAGTCCACATACGCCAGGCAAAGTGGCAGATTGTACTCTTCGGTCTTCTGTACAATCTGCCAAGGGGTATGTATGTGATCTATGGAACTGAAGCCTTTTTCGGAAACCGGCTTGTTCGGGAGGCTGGAAGTCGTCGAGTCTGCGTGCGAGACGATTCGTAATGACTCTCAAAAATAGCACGTAGATGCGGCTTAGAAGGGAAATCGGTCTTGTGGTGTACTTCTTCAAGAGAGCCTTGTGTCATTTCTTAAAGAACAAGACCACCGCACTTCTGCTCCACGCCTCTGGAGTAGTGCCACCATGGAGGACGGAATTGAAGAGCTTCTGAAGGATTTCAAGTACCGGTGTTCCACCCGCTTTCAGAAGCTCCGCTGTAATTCCATCCTCACCTGGGGCCCTGCCGTTTTTAAGGCGCTGGAGAGCCATTCTAATCTCGCTCAGACCGACGTCCGTGGTATCATCGGAATAGTGTTGAATAAGACTTGCTCTTGGATCGTTACTTACACTTGCGTGTGGCTCCAACGATGATGCGTACAGCTGCCCATAGAACCTCTGAATTTCACTCAGAATCTCCCCGAAACCCGTCCTAGAAACGATGCTGCCACACTCAGTCTTCAGCTTTGACTGTTGGTTCTTACTGGCAGACAGATCTCTGGCAGACTTTGGAGCCCTGGTTCCGCTCGATCGCTTCTTCAATACGAGCAGTATTGAAGTTAAGCAAATCTCGCCGCATGCATTTGGTGATCTGTCTGTTCAGTTGCCTGTATGCTGTCAAATCTGTTGACAATTGCAGCCTCATCTCCCGTCTAACAGCCACGAGATTAAGAGTGTGATCGGAGAATTTTTGTGTTCTTCTGCGGCGGGTCTTGCAGAACTTAGCTCCGACCGCATGGACAGTTTCCACGAGCTTGTCATTCATATCGTCCACTGCATTGCAATCTTCTAGGCACTGAAAGCGGTTACGTAACTCGAGCTGAAAAGTTTCGGGATTCTGGATTACGAGTAGAGCACGAGGGGAACGGAGCGTTGACTTCATTATACGAGACCTCTCCAACTGAACGTTTAGGTTCAGTGTGCCTCTAACCATTTGGTGATCACTGCCAGTTTTCACTCTTGCGATCACTTTCACCTTCTTTAATTGCGTGCACTTTTCCCGTCAGCACTAATTTCAACATCACTACACTAGGTACACACGTCATTTTATTTTATTACGTGGATCTTACCTTTAAAATTATTAACATTTTTAATATTTTTCATAAAATAAATTGCCAGTGTCAGTCTTTCGTAATTGAAAATGTTATTGTCGCGCTGACATAGTAAGATTTACTATCTATTGCTTCATCACCACTTACTGCCAAGTGGATTATAGACCAGTACTGTCCAATGTCCAAACCCAATTCCGGTTACGGCGGCCAGCTTCTGCGGAGACTAGCCATCGGCGCAGGACAGGGTTAAAGTGCCCAAGTGTACGCGCAAGCTCAGATGCACTCTCTATTCCCTCATTCTCATAATCCGATGACCGTCCCATCCGGCAAAACACATAAACCGACATAACCGGAGAGAGATCAGGCGCAGGACTAGCGACTCTACGTGTTTTCCGGTGCATGGTGGTGAGACACCCGCCAACTTCCTGACTCCGAGCAGCTACTGAGAATTTCTTGACGGAAAAACTTGATTTTTTGGCCCGACCCGGGATTCGAACCAAGGACCTCATGATCAGCAACCACACTACTACAACCACTAGAGACAGTCAATGAGATAGTCAACCTGCTAGTAGCCTCATCAAATTCCAATCCATCACAAGTACGCTATTAAACATAAGCTTGACCTATAGATCACTACAAAATACGGTGCTAAGTAATTTGCATACCTTATTGGCTCAATCTACTAATCATAGACTTTTCATCTCAATCCATCTCAAGTACACCACCGAATATAAGCCTGCCGTATAGATCACCACAAGACACGGTGCTGAATTATTGCACACCTTATAGGATCCACCTACTTGTTGTAGACTTATGACCTCATTCCAGTGCATCTTTAGTACAGGCATGGCTTTCTGGGATCGAATAATCGAAGAATCGATTGCTTATCCCAAAGAGATCGATTTTTAAATCGATATTTAGAACTGAATCGATCCAGTGAATCGATATTTCACCCTCTAAATAGTTTACTATTTTGATAATAACACGTAAGAAAATTACAGCTTTATTTAATTATTGGAAAACTAGAGGAATGGCTGTGTGCTCAGTTTCTTTCGCCTCTTCTTAATGAATTATTTACTGAATAAAAAATAGTTACGTTTGTACTTTGGGTTTTTTGTCTTTTATTAGTAGTGTAAATAAAAACTCGAAAAGTAAACTACAAAAAGATCGATTTTAGAGAAATCGATCTTTTTGACCTCCATTTATTTGTGAATGGGTTTATCAAATTTTGATTAAAATCGATTTAAAAATTGTTATATTTTAGAAAGAATCGCCATCCCTACTTTTGGTACACTGCTGAACATAAGTCTACCATATATCTTACCACAAAACAAGATATTGAATCATTGGCATACCTTATTCGTATAAGGTTGGATAGATCGATACTTCTCTTGCCGGTACGTGACTATGTAATATTGATAATATATTTTGTAGTCTACTGCGTCTGGCTCCATGGACCATTTCATTTCCATATTCCCCACTTCGTTTTTAAGAATATAAAACCACCGTCACCGTTTTAATAATTCTTTATGAAAACTTTAAGTTGGGTAACTATATTCATTTATAAAAATACAATAGTTATTACCATAATAAACTTAAACTAAAACTTAACTTATCATACAGTCCTCCCTGTGGTATAGTGCTAATACTTAACATTTGAGCGAGAAAAATCAGCACTTTTTTCACTAGCAACAACCACAAATCGGGGATTATAGTATTAATTTATGTATACTAAAAGACTATTAAGCCATAATATAACCTGGGAGGAAATATTTTCTTCTATCCTCAATTACGAATCATAATGCAGATGCGTTGTCACCCGAGTTGAGGACTAAGAAGAAAGGCCTCGTTTAAAGTAGAAAGGGTCTCTGGTTTTCTATACTCACCATATGTAACACAGCAGCGTCAAGCTGGTATTTTGTGAGAGAGTGGTCCTTCCCCGCTCGAGCCGACCAATTCGTGCTGCAACTTTACCACTAATATAGCTGCAGTATATAGGATTTACCACAATACACGTGGTAGAGCCACCACGTGTAATGGAGTAATTAATAACAACAATATTATGTGGATCGTATAGTTCTGCTTTTCTTTTTGTTTAACTATTATCGGGGAAGGACCACGGTCACAGAAAACCAGCGTAAAATAGCAGCTCAATGGCCCTTTTTACTGGAAACAAGACAATCCATCCTAGTCCTCACGGGTGACAACGCATCTGCATTTTGATTCGTAATCGAGGATAGATGTGGAAATCTATGGGACATAGCAAACACTTACCATCATATGATTTATGTGCTCGTTTGAACCTATTATTGGCTACCTGTGATCTAACTATTTATACTATAATAAACTCTAACACGACGTCTTTCTGTAAAGTTAAAAAGTAAAGTTACAGCCTATATACGTCCCACTGCCGGGCTCAGGCCTCCCCTCATTTCTGAGAGGGTTTAGGGCAAGGAAGTGTCCGCCGCGCTGCCCAAATGCGTATTGACGAACTTCACATGTCTTTGAAATATTTTTGTTCTTATTCCTCAGACATGCAGGTTTCCTCACGATGTTTTCCTTCACCGCCGAGCAAGTGGTAAATCAGCACTTAAAATTGCAATTAACAATTTCATTGGTGCCGGCGGGGATCGAACCCGGGTTACTCGCGTTCTGTTACATTTACAGCGAGCGTTAACCACTGAGCTACCACGGCTCTTACGTCTTTCTGAACACGGAGGATTTCTGAATAAGGAGTAATTTAGCCTACTTTTGTTTTCAAAACATTCCACGCGGATGAGGTCGCGGGGGAACAACTAATTAAACATAAGATTCGTAAGTCGTTGGTTTTTCGGAACATAAAAAAGAATAATAAAATAAATTGAAAATAAATCAAGATAATAATATTATTAAAATTATACTTTACCTTCACACTTATTGGTGTCTGGGTTAATTTTAAAACCTGGAGGGCAGTGCTTGGAAACCTTATCTTGACAGTAAAAGGAACCTCTTGTATTGATGCAGAATTGAGAGAGAGCATTACAGTCGTCTTTGTGTGTGGCGCATTCATCCACGTCTAAAAATACAAATATAAGGTGTATATAACATCTTTTTTTTATAGAATCAGGGTGACAAACGAGCACACAGTACATCTGACGGTATGCGCCCTCCTTTCTGCCAGGGAGGGTCGCGTTCGTATACGGCTTAGAGATCTCTAGTCAGATCGTTAAGCCAATTCCTAAAAGGTTGAGTTTAGTGGGTAAAAGTCTCCACATAACCACGCAGCCGGCTGCGTGGTATGCTATGAGCATTCTCAACCTCCCTCCCCCCGCTTTCCGGAGGGTTGCCCATATTTGCTTCGGGCGCAAAAAAAAATCTGACGGTAAGTGGATGCTGTGTCCCATAGACATCTACATTTAACCTAAGTTAAGAATTAAAAACCCACCCCTCAGTCACCTCTGAGGACTAAGATGGAATGTCTCGATTCCAGTAAAACAGGTCTCCGGTTCTCTTTACTCACCATATGAAACACAAACACAGCAGCATTAAGCTGCTATTTTACGCTGGTATTCTGTGAGAGCGTGGTCCTTCCCCGGTCGAGCCGACCCGTTCGTGCTACAACCATAATATAGCTGCAGCGTGATTCTATCACGATAAAATTAATTTTTTATATATTTTAGTTATTAAATACTACATTAATTAACGTCCACCGCTGTACATACATTTCCTCATTAGGGGGATATTTGCCACAATTTTTGTATTTGTTACTAGCAAGACGCTGTTGCTTATCCCCTGGTTTGTTTCCCCTTTGTCGCCTCTTACGGTACCCACAGGACGATATGGGCTAGTGGATTTTTTTACACCACCACTACACGGTAAGTCCATATTACATTACTAGTTGAAAAAAATACGGCTCGTGTCACGCGTTTCGTCTTGGTGTGAGTTGACCCTTAAGTAAATGTTACAAAATATTATTTTAATTAGGGCCGTGGTAGCTCAGATGGTTAGTGCTCGTTGTAAATTTCACAGTAGGCAAGCAACCCGGGTTCGATCCCCGCCGGCACCAATGGAATTGTTAATGGCAATTTTAAGTGCTGATTTACCACGTGCTCGGCGGTGAAAGAAAACATCGTGAGGAAACCTGCATCTCTGAGAATTAAACATATATTATGGCATTTCAAATAATACGTTTGGAAAAACTCGATAGCGAAACGACTTGATAGCGGAGTGGCTTTGAATTTATTTACACTAGATCTCGTGTTCGATTCCCGCACGTAAAAAGTTTTGGCATGGCCAGCAAATAAATGTTCCACAAGTATGTTGGAGTGTTTTACCAGTCTCAATTTATGTATGTAACATGCCTCCAAAATATACCAAATATTTCCAAACAGGAATTAGCCGATTTTAAAATAAAAAGTTAAAAACCTATTATTATATAAAGCCTTAAAAAATATTGCTTGAAAAATTAAAATAAGATATCTATATCATCGGCAAAGATCTTATTATTTTTATGATAATACAATTCTGGTTAAAATTTGTATAATATCGCCCTTACCTTCGCACTCCTCATTTTCGCCACTAGTAAATCCTGGGGGGCAACGATCCTCAGTTGGAGGACGCACCTGCTTCGGCAAGTTCGCTGGATCGCCCGTTATACCTCCGCACTTGTAAGCACCGATTGTGTTCTCGCATAAATACGAGGGGCAAGGTGGTTGAGGTAGTTTGCATTCATTTATATCTAACAGAAAATAAAAAATAATTTGAAATAAGTGATTTCTTTATAGAAAAAGGGTGACAAACGAGTACACAGTCCACCTGATGATAAGAGGACGCGTGGCACGTAAACATCCACATTTATCCTCCATTAAGAAGCAGATGTTTTCTCACCCCTGAGGACTAAGATATAATGCCTCGTTTCCAGTGAAAAGAATCTCCTGTTCAACAATGTGGGTATTCCAATAATAATGTGGGTTCACTTCAAGCGTACCTTCGGCAAATATATCTAAAATATAACCCAGATCACTCCTTGCATTATCTTTATGTGTTTATGAAGTCTTATTAAAATCAGATCAGCCATTTCGTTTTTTTATTCCCCTTTTTTATTGTCATAAATTTAACGTTTTAAATAATACTTGTTAATATTGTTACGCGCTCAAGTCGACGATACACTAGCGCCATCTAGTGTCAGGAACGAGAGCGAGGGGAGCATTGAGAAAATGACATCACAAATCACTCAACCGACAGCGCCTAGTCGAAACTCGAACGCTCGGTACCTTGCGCGTGTTTACTTAAACATTCTGGATATTTCTTTGCTAATTTAAATATATAGGCGCTGCAAGATGCGATCGAGACAGAGTTGAACTCGGCGACACAAGCGAAGCTTCGGAGCGGAATTAAGTGAATTAGTGTGTTTAATTATTAGTGTTTTTAGTTTTAATTTGTGTAAAGTAAATTAAAGTGTTAATTTAGGTAATTTTATCGGCAATTTTTATTGTCACGAACCTCAAGCTCGTAACAATATTATATAATAAATAAACACTATAAATATAATACATAGATAAACAAATTATAGTAATAGAACTAAGAATAGGGAAGGAAACTAGCCCCTGAAATACAGGTATTATATCCTAGTTTAGGGGTTAATGACTACTATGACTACTGTAAATTTTGTCCATGTTATATGTTTATCAATATAGATTATTATTAGTATTATTTTGAAATTCAGTACGTACAGACAGACAGCCAAATGGGAGTCCGTAGTCTCTGCCTACCCTCTTGTAAAACACACGTTACATTAATGTTTACGTTTATGTAACTGTTTTACTTACCATCACAAGCATTATTTTGTAAGTTCTTCGCAAATCCCGGAGGGCACTGACCCTTCTCGACGCTGCTAATCTTCTTCATAGGTATACATTTATAGGATCCATGTATATTGACGCATTGAGTGTTTGGAAGACATACAGGCGGATCCAGTATGCATTCGTCGATATCTAAACAAACACATATATAACCGTTATAACTGTCCTGAATCAAAATAATTCCATTTTTTTATAGAATAAGGGTGGCAAACGAGCACACAGCCCTCCTGATAGTAAGTGGATGCTGTGGCTCATAGACATCTACATTTATCCTTGATTAAGTATCAAAACGCAGATTCGTTGCCACCCCTGAGGACTAAGATGGAATGCCACGTTTCCAGTAAAAAACGGTCTCCGAATCTCTACACTCATCATACGAAACACAGCAGTATTAAGCTGCTATTTTACGCTGGTATTCTGTGAGAGCGTGGGCCTTCCCCGGTCGAGCTTGCCCATTCGTACTACAACCATAACATAGCTGCAGCGTGGCTCTTCCACGTATAAATTCCATTAGGTACTATTCAAAGCCAATGCTCAAATTTCTAAAAAAAAATCTTCAATTTTCTAACGTTTAATAAGCTATGTAGCGGCGGTGTAAGACTACCCTCATCTCTTGGTTCATCTTGGTTGATTTCCCTTTGTCATCTCGACAATGGAAATCAACCAAGAGGCAGGCAAAAAGTGTTTTCCCTAAAAACAACACAAAATAAAAACACTACGGTTATCAATCCCCTTGCCAAGCATGGCAGTTATGGCAAATATATATGAGGCATTCCATAGTGAAAGCCCATGTTCGGCGGTGGACTTTTGATAGGCTGTAACATTACATTACATTTTATACGTGGTAGAGCCATGCTGCAGTTATATTAGTAGTATAGTTGTAGCACGAATGGGTCGGCTCGACCGGGGAAGGACCACGCTCTCACAGAATACCAGCGTGAAATAGTAACTTAATGCTGCTGTATTTCGGATGGTGAGTGTAGAGAACCGGAGACCCTTTTTACTGGAAACGAGGCATTCCATCTCAGTCCTCACGGGTGATAACGCATCTGCATTTTAATTTTTAATGGAGGATAGATGTAGATGTCTATGGGCCGCAGCAACCACTTACCATCAGGTGGACTTTGTCACCCATTTCTATAAAAAAACCGGTTTATGGGATTATAAGGGTTATTATGACGGTTTATGACCAAAAATGTCACCAGGCCTATATATTCTTGCCCTGAAAGGTAAAATATGTAGTGTTCAGGTATATTATATATCTATCGTACACTAGCTATCTACAGCATAAATGATGTTTTTTATATGATAGGGTGACAGACGAGTACACAGTCCACCTGATGGTAAGTGTTTGCTGTGGTCCATAGATATCTACATCTATCCTCGGTTAAGAATCAAAATGCACATGCGTTGTCACCCGTGAGGACTAAGATTGAATGCCTCGTTTCCAGAAAAAAGAGTCTCAGGTTTTTTACACTTACCGTACGAAACAGGAGCAATAAGCCGCTATTTTACGCTGGTATTCTGTGAGAGCGTGATCCCACCCCGATTGAGCTGACCCATTCGTGCTTCAACCATAATATTGCTGCAGTGTGGCTCTTATACGTGTCTAAATAAATCAATCCTCATATTCCATCATAACGTAAATAAGAAAATAAAATGTTGTTTCAATTTCGGTGAATTAAATAACTTGCCATAGTTACCCCACGCTTGGTAAGTGGGTTGGCAACCGCAGTTTATTATTGCTGTTATCAGAAAGATGCTGCTGCCATCTCATGCCTCAGTATCTCGCTGTCGCCTCTTACGACACCCATGGGAAGATATGGGGTAGTGGGTATTCTTACACCGCAATGATTTGATTGATTGATGAATTCGATGGATGCAAGTAGCTCACTTGGTAGTCTATGTTCATAAGTGGACCTGTAACGATGATGATGATAATGAAATAATAATTAAATAATCACCTTCACAAGATTTGCCATCAGTCATAAGCTGATAGCCTCTTCGACAGGAACATTTAACTGCAATGCCGTTGTCGTTGCATTTATGCTGGCAAGGGTTATGCGGTTTGCATCTATTCTTTGTAACCTGCGAAACGCATAATTTTCGATAAATAGGTTATAAAATCAACAAATATTAAATTGTCGTCATTTCTTATATTGAACTAGCGACTCTATCCGAATTTGCAAGGGTGATTTTTGCATCTCGTCAACAACGCCACCTACCGGGTCCAACTATAGCTGAGAAACATCTATCTATTAAACTTGATGATAACAGTCCACGTGACAAGAAACTATAAACCAATAATGCCAGAGATGCGTTTTATACCCTTTTTTATATAATAAGGGTGACAAACGAGCACACAATCCACCTGATGGTATGTGGTATGTGTCCCAGAGACATCTACATTTCTGCTCAATTAAGAATAAAAATGCAAATTTGTTGTTAAACCTGAGGAAAATCTCGTTTCCTGTGAATTCCTGAAGACAAAGATGCAATGCATTGCAGTTTGTAATTATACTGGCTCTTATACACTACAAAAGGAATGAAATGCTCCACACCTTGTGTACCTTTAGCAGCTCTCATTTCTTTTAAATCAGAACATTACAGTAGGTATACTACTCCTGCTTAGTGAAAAACAGCTTAAGCGGTGGTATGGTACGTAGAAATATTTTTAATTAAAAAATTGCGATTCCTAGACTCACAGCTTTGGACATTCTTTTCAAATGCTATGTCAATATGCAATAAATGTAACAATTTTGTATTTATTCATATTTCAAGATATATTTTACAAGCCTTTTTGCCCATTAAAAATTTAATCAAAATCGATCAAGCCCTTTAGGAGGAGAAGAATTACGACCAAACCTAGGTTTATTCAGATACAATTATGGCCAGCAGATTGTGGTTGGTTGGCGGTACAGCAATAATCAAAGTAGAAAGGGTTACAAAAATTATATATATATTAATGTCGGCATGTATATTGCAGAAAAACAACATCTGCTTATTGTATTTTCTTGTATTGTACTTTATAACGCATGCATGTTTGCGCTATCCATTATAAGTGCATCTGAAGATGATCCTCTTTCGCCTACATCAGAAGTGGGATGAAGGTCCTGTTATTGCCCAGATATAATCTTCGAATAGTGTGATGAAGGCGTGCCTTTCGCTCTTTAATGGTGTGGGTAGAAGGCCTTTGTTTCGTAAGGATTGTTAGTCGACTTGAAACCACCTAATATAGTCGTTGTTTCTACAGTATATCGTATCACAAATAGTGATGAAGATATGAGTAACAGTCCGTTGCTACTATTGCAGCATTGTGATCACTGTATGTAATCTAACTGTGTCTTGACACACTTTACATAATGACTTTTTTCGGGAAAACGTGGCGGGAAGAGTGAATAAAAGTAAGTAATATTAATTAACTGCAACATCTTATTCTCACCTCCATACAATTCCTTCCGTCGGACATTAGCATAAATCCGGGATTACACTCGCATTTGTATGATCCCGGTATGGGTATACAGTGATGGGCGCAAAGCTCGTTCGGAGCGAAGTCATCGCAGACTGATGTGAGTTCTGAAACAAGAAACTTTTGTAAGAAAGTTTATTTAAAGCAACACTTTTACAATATACTAGTTCAAAATCTTCTGAGGATCCACCTTTCAACTTTCAGGAATTATGACGGCTCCGTGGCGCAATAGCTTCACAATGAGTTATAGCGCTGAGGGCTGCGGGTTCGAATCCCGCACGGACCAAGTATTTGTACGGCATACAAGTAATTGTTGTGGATCTGGATGTTTGTCCTTAAGCAATTTATGCATGTGAACTGCTTCCACGATACAGGATAAAATCCTAGTGTCGGGGTAACGTTTTTTTTAAATAAAATAAAAAAGGGAATAAAATGGAAAACCTCACAGCTTGTCTCACAAAACACCAGTTAGCATACTCTGCGGAGTCACCTCTGAGTAATAAGATGGAGTGTTTCGCAGCCTTTGATGTCGTTGCTTTATATATCATTCAGACTTGGACACAGAAGTGCAAGCACTGCTGCATGTCAGGAGAAATGCGTAGGTGGTAGTACGCAGATGGACTCCCCTGACATAAAAAGAACTCCACCGCAAAATGTAATATATGCACTATTCTATTAAAGGGCTTCATTTGTTTACTACCCTAAATCTTCTTACCCTATCCTGTTTTTTTCAGAACCTTAAGGCAAAAGTTAACAACCAGTGCGAGTTATCAGTGACCATATGAATGAATGAATGAATATACATACTTTATTGTACACCACAAACCAATATACAAAAAACATAACAAAAAGCAGATTATATGTACAATTTGGCGGCCTTATCGCCACATAGCGATGTCTTCCAAGCAACCAAAGGTGTAAAATAATAAAACAATGAATACTAGGTAGGTGGTGCAATATAAATATACATAATATAATATCAATACATGCGATATATAGACAATACATGCAATAAAATAACATATAAATAACTAATACATGAAATGATATAATTTACTAATATACTACATACTAAAAAGAAAGTAAATCATATAACATACACATATACATACATATATCTTAGTAGGTATATGTAAATTACATGCCACGTTGTTTGTCCGCGATGGACTCTCCTAAACTATTTAAACGATTTTATACATCGTGTGCAGTTTGGTCTTACTTGAGAGATAGGATAATTTTTTTTGCCGATGAGTGACCCACAATTTGCGAATTTAAGAATTTTTTTGTAGGACATGACAAAGGGTCGTCGAAAAGAGCTGAACAACGTCTGCCTGGTAAGCTAGTATAAATATAAAAACAAACTTACATATATATGAACCGAGATGTAGTTTTTCACTACCGGCCGTATGAGTGAAGTCTCTTATCGAACTATGTAGATGGTTAAGCTCCAGAATTTTCTGCGTGATAAAATTCTTATAGGGGATAATCGTAGCAGAATAAGAGTTACTGTCACAGCGGAGTCGATCAGTATAACTAACTGACTTAACCCAAAGGACCAACTTAGACAAGCATAAACTTGAACAGACAAACTGTGAGGAAGAAAGATATTAATGGGAACTAGTAACACAGTTTGGGTACCCCGTTTAAGACAAGTTCTCCCCACAGTGAGCAACGAACATATCACCCAATGACCTTTTACGAACTGCTCATGAAATATAAAATCGAAGTATTTTACTTACCATCCTCTAAAGGTTTTCTCGTGACAATACCGTTGCCTGGTCGATGCGCCGCTGATTCAGTGTCTCCTGCTTGCTTTGCCGATTGCTAAGAAAATAAAATTTATGTAAGTTACTTAAAGTTTGAAAGTGAATGAGTTTTGATTAAAGTAAACAATTTCAGTTTACAATTCGAATATTTATTAAGCTAACAGTTTGTACAATTAAGTATTTGTTATTTTTCTAGGACTTTCTTTGCCTAGGTGTCCGTCGGTATATATACCACCTTCTTGCTTAATACTGCAATTAATTAAATAATTTTAATATATAACAGATTTTATACGTGGTAGAGCCATGCTGTAGTTCTATTGATGATATAGTTGTGGCACGAGTGGGTCAGCTCGACTGGGGAAGGACCACTCTCTCACAGAATACCAACGTAAAATAGTAGCTTAATGCTGCTGTGTTTCGTATGGTGAGCGTAGAGAACCAAAGATCCTTTTTTACTGAATCCATCCATCTTAGTCCTCACGGGTGACAACGCATCTGCATTTTGATTCGTAATCGAGCATACATGTGGTTGTCTATGGGCCACAGCAACCACTTACCATCAGGTGGACTGTGTGCTCGTTTGTTACCCTATCCTATAAAAAAAATTAAGCAGCAGTCCGTTCTCAAGTCTGAAGGGAGCCAGTGAAGAACCAGTATAATTACTGGCTGTGAGTCGCTCCATCTTTTTCTTCAGAAATAACAACGCGGCTGTAGGTTTCTTTGTTTGCAGTTATCCATCAGCGGCTCCGGTTATTAAGCCACGTACCATCAGATGATGTAAGTTCGCTGGTCATTACAATTTAATAAAAAGTAACACACATCTACTTTGTCATTTTTTATTTGATGTCTACTCACGCTTCCCACCCATAGAATGAACAAAACAAAATAAGGTTACCATTGCCTGATTTCTAAATTGTGCAGATTTTTGGAATTTCTAAGAAAAAATGATACCATAAACATTTCGACACAATATTTCACAACAAGCTACTTGTATTGAAAACTAAAATATAACAGGATCTTGAACCAACGTTCCACCACAGGCCTCTGTCAGATACAGAAACAGAAACAGAAACTTTTTTATTCAATGTAGATTATAACAATACTTATTGAAAGTCGCTTTTTTAGGGTTCCGCAGTCAACTAGAACCCTTATAGTTTCGCCATGTCTGTCTGTCCGTCTGTCCGTCCTCACTTAAACTCTGTGACCGTTAGCACTAGAAAGCTGAAATTTGGTACCAATATGTGTATCAATCACGCCGACAAAGTGGTAAAATAAAAATTGGAAAAAAATGTTTTATTAGGGTAGCCCCCCTATATGTAAAGTGGAAAGTGTTTTTTTTATTTCAACCCTAACGTGTGATATATTGTTGGAAAGGTATTTAAAAATGAATAGGGGTTTACTAAAATCATTTTTTGATTATGTCTATAATTTCGGAAATAATCGCTCCAAAAGTAAAAAACAATGTGTCCCCTCTAACTTTAGAACCATAAGTTAAGAAAATATGAAAAAAAATCTGAAAAGTAGAACTTTATAATGGCTTTCTAGGAAAATCATTTTGAACTTGGATGGAAACAACAGTACCCACTACCGGGAGCAGTTGCAGGGGCGCGAACATAATGGATACCCTTTAAACTCATAAGTGGGAACACTTATTGTGACGGACGGGAAACTACGGAACCCTATACTGGCCGGTTTTTTTCATTTATCTTTTATATATATATATATATATATATATATATATATATATATATATATATATATCTTTCATTTATCTTTATATTTACATTTATCTCTTTCGATATATTTTTAATTAGTTAACGAAAACTTGTAATAATGTACTTGTAACTATGTATATTAAATTTTGATATATATTTTGGTCTCCTTTATAATTGTAATACTATATTATGTTATGTACCTATGAGAAAAATGAAGTAAGTTTAGCTTAAAAGCTTTTAATTTTTAAGGCTGATTTTACAACTTTAATATTAAACAGTTATCAATCGAATAAATTATAACTTGACTGAATAATTAAACTTTTTTATTCAAGCAACTGTAATTTTCAATTCGTTTATGTCGCATTATATCCTATGAATACATTTTAACTGAGTATCGTAAAATCGGATATTAGTTATAATTACACTCTTTGATGTACCGCAATATATTAGTTTAAAATAAATACAGTACAAACAATTTGTTAATTATAAGTCAATGTTGATGCACCAACGTAGCAGTATAGATACATACAGCCTGTATGTATCTATAATTAAAATTACATGTTACCACGTAACTAGAGTTAGAGTATATACAAATATTATTACATTGTAATTTTAGGGAGGAATCATTAATTGAATAAATAAATAAACATATTTACGCGTAACAGCGTGACTTCGATATCAGTTTGCGAATGTTTATTGTTTTATGTTGATTACCATGATGAAGCGTCAATAGCTTACCTTACAGCATTGGTTGAAAGCGTCTCCTGCCAACAGCTGCTCTGCGCTGTTGCCTCGAACATTCGCTACACAGACACTGGCACCTCTTGCAACACCTGCAGCAGCACCCTTCGTGCACTCGTCGCAACATTTCTGTAAATAAACAATGTGTTACTAGCGATCATTGTCAATTTTTTATTTATTTTTATCAATATTTTGTTTCTAAAAAAAATTAAGTTAAATAGTTAAGTACTACTTGTACTCAGTTATGTTTAACTTTTTTGAGTCAGATGAAGCTGTAAGAGTCGCATAGACTAACAGCGTTAACATCCAAAAACTATGTTTAAGTACAAAACTGAACATTGTTATGTTTTATGTTTAATTTACAGGAATAAAAGAGGGATATATTTTAATATATATTCCCTTCTTCTTATGCAAAGAGAAAATCTTAATAAGACTGAATAAATATTGGTTTTTCTATCATGTACCTTCATCATTATTATCACCATAAAATACTATAATATAAAATAGAACGGCTGTCAACCTTATTTTAAATGAAGATAGGCGTCGCCGGGAGCACACATACAAGCCATTACGTCGTATCACTAATACAAACTCGATTCGCTCTGTTGACAGACGGATTTTAATACATATTTATTTGTAAATAGTGTGCAACTTGGCATTTTCTAAATAATTTGCATGCGAAAGGAGACGGGCGAATTTGGGCCTAACGTTACACAAGTGCAATATTTATCAATATTTTTTTAAAGTTTTTTTGTAGTTAATAATGAAATATTAAGCAGTTTTATCATGGCAAAAGAAATTAAATATTTTATAAGAATAATACTGACTTCCGTTATTTTTATTTTTAAACAAAATAACGGAAGTCAGTATTATTCTTATAAAATATTTTGCTGCCAGATGAAATAGGTTAGTTAATCGATTTTAATACAAAAATAGAAAAAAGACAATAAAAAGTGATTCAGTCTTTTCTTCTTTAGGTAAGTTTAAGAAACTTCTTATTTAAATAATGGTTCCCTCGTGACACCTTAACGTTTCAAAATAGTCGTAAAAAATAAATTGACTGAATAAATTAATAAATCGATTTCACAATCGATTATCAATGTTTTTATACAGGCCACAAAGCAGAAATGTCAACGTTAGTTTAAAAACTAAAAACGTCACTCAAATCATTTGTTACTTTTGTTCAGAGCACTTTTTTATATAGGGTACTTTTGTTTGGCTCTGAGCTTGCGGTGCTAGTTAATATTTTCTGTTGTTTTTCTGTGCTGTAATAATATTCTCATCTTTAACGACTCTGACTACGTATACAGGATTCTGACGGTTTCTTTTCTGATTTTACAAGTATACATGTGCAAAATTATAAATGATTTTCCCCAGCTCACACACAGTAATTTAATAAAAATATCTTTAGGTATTACATTGAGCTATTATGTACTACATACTAGAGGAGACACTGCATTCAGCTACTCTGTTCCACTCAACTGCGGTGCATGCACTGCACTTTAATCAGTCACTCGCTAGGCGCTTGTAGAGTTGTCACGTGTTGTGTTGATTTAAAAAAATCTCTTGATAAAAATATGCCGTCTTGTGTACTTAGATATTGCACAAATAATTCAAGAAATGTCAGTAAAAACCAAGGAATTACTTTTCATCGGTTAATAAGATACTTATTCAATAAAAAAGTATTATAAATTAATAATAAAGCAAATTATTCCTAAGACGCCATCTCGTATCATTGAATATAGATTATGAAATTAATATGTTCAGATGCGACATTTCTGTGGGTACTTAAGTTTAGGATGAATATATTATTATACTACACATTTTTTTTTGTAGAAACATATAAGTTATTATAATTAAGCTAAATTTTTCATGTTTAAATCTGCTTATTATTCTTTTATTTTATTTTTAGGTTTCCACTTCAAAGTCAAAGTGGAATAAATTCGTCCATTTTTAACTCTCGCGTGCCCAGCATTTATGAACGATTATTTACAACATTTATGATTCTAATTTAAATAAATATATTTGTAATTTAAATTTTATGTTAATAAGTTTTGTTAAACATACATTTAGTACGTTTTTTTATATTTGACATAGATACCTTTTAAAATATTCAGATAACAATATCATCAAAATGTAATTCTGACATAATATTATGTAATATTATATTAAATTAGCACATATACAAAATAAAAAACAATTTAAAAAATTGTAAGTACTCGATATAATTAACAATACAATATAAATAAACAATTATTACATACTGACCATTCTACTTACGTATAATCTATAATAACAAAAACTGACCGCGCAAGCGCAAAGCGCGTTTATACCAACTGCGCATGCGCGACTCTACTATTACCGCGCATGCGCGAAGACATAGAAGTAGCGCACAATTTTTGTTTGGAATAGCTTCTCTAGTACATAGTACATTATAACTCAATGAGGTATTATATCAAATTAAGTGGGCTAGGTCCCATTATGGTGAACACATACAAGATGGGAGATATGAAATAGAAGTGTGTCTAGAAACGGACAGCAACCTACTAAGAGAATTGTCTTTAATCGACCTCTTAATAGCTACCTATAATGGTACTATCCAACCATTCTAGCTGGCTATTGAGAGGTCGAATAAAATCGAGACATATACTTAAGCTCAAAAACATATTTTACACATATTTTAGTTGACAGTCCTCTTAATGGTAGAGAGATCATCAAACAGTATTATTTCAATTCTTTGATAGGAAAAAGAACTGTAGGTTGCTGTTGTCATGTAATGTCCATAATATGGTACCTAAGCTGTGCAAGGCGTCAAGAGAATTTAATACCGCCTGCACCGTTTTTAGACATTAAAAGAGAAAATGTTTTTAATTCATCCTCCTTCTGCTTTTTTATAATTATTTCAAACTTCTAGAATTTAGTAGGACGGCGGCGTCTGAATCTTCTATTTGTGAAGGTCCTACAATACATAAAATTATGGTGATGTCTAGTTTGCAATAAAGTCTAATAATTATTTTCTTAAAGTGTAATGAGAGAGCTTGGTGTGAGAATAACATTGTATGCATAGCATAAGCAAAATAACAACCTATTTTTTTCTACAATAAAGCACTCGTAAACATTTTAGTTTTTTTAAAATGGTATTGATATATAAATAAAATAATACAGTAATCGTTGCTGTAACATCAGGCCCAGCTTTCTATGAATTTTCGCCCGTCTCCTTTGGAAACGATTGTAACGTCAAAACACATCTCGTGTTGACAATTATACGTGTAAATTGACGGATTAGCGGCATTTTAGTGGCTACACGGGCTCCACCCACTCCCCCGTTCTATTATGTATGTATTATAGTATTCTATGATTATCACCATTACATATCATTATAATTCCACTACTGAACTTCTTGACGTCCTTCAGCGATTCTACCATAAAAACTATATCATCGGCAAATAAAAAGTAGGTAAGTATTAAACGCGTAATTGATGTTGATATCGCATCCTTTCCACATCAGTAGACAAATACAGCAGTGAAGAGTTTCGACGATATAAGTATAACGTCACCCCACCCTGTCTTACACCTCTCTGCAGTTGAATAGGTTAAAATGTAGCCTGGATCTATATCTTTATCCTGACATTGTTCTCTATTTGTTCGCCAAGTTTCATCACAATCAGTTCAGCTATTTTTAAGATTTAGCGCTTACGGACTCACAAACGACAGTTTTTGAAAACATCCTGTCACAAAACATCAATCCAAGTTTAAGAGCTTAAATGCAGATGCTTTGTCACCCCCGAGGGCTAATTTGAAATGCCTCGATTCCATTAAAAAGGGTATTCGGTGCTCTACACTCACCATATGAAACACAGCAGTATTTAATTCCAATTTAAACTCGAATTCTGTAAGAGTGTAATTCGAGTCCGAACGGGCCGACCTAATCGTACTACCTACAACTATTTACTACAACACTGTACTACAACATTTGCAGCGTGTATCTATAATGAACGACTAACGAGAAAACCAAAAAAATCTAGTCATCAATGTACTGCACACATCGAACGCGAAGCGGAGATGTGTAGATGCTCTATAGTCACCAAATCAAAAAATCAATACTTGAATGATCATCATCATCATTACAGCCCTTCACAAGTCCACTGCTGAACATAGGCCTCCCCCAAGGAGTGCCACAAAGCACGGTCCTGAGCCACCTACATCCATCGACTTCCTGCATGTCTTACCAGCTCTTCACTCCATCTAGTGGGGGATCACCCTACACTACGCCTTCCGGTACGAGGCTGCCACTCAAGAACCTTTTTTGCACATCGGCAGTTCTACGAGTTATATGGCCAGCCCATTGCCACTTCAGCTTACTAATCCGTTGGGCTATGTCGGTTCGCTTTATATTACACTTGTATAATAAAAAAAATACATCAATAGCAAGAAGATATTCCAATGAATACTTCTGACGTAGTTACAAGATTATATATTTCGATTATTGTTTTAAAAAAATTTAATTGAAAAAAACGGACGTCAGTTGATCGGCATGAATGTGAACAAGAATATCTTACGAAAAATAGAGCTTATCACTTTGATTTTTTTTATTACCTATAGATTTTAATCCTAATGAAGTTGAGTTTCACAGCCCCATAATATTTGACAATTTTTTTCGATATCCAAATATGAATCAATCGGTCTAAATAAAATTTCGTGTTTATTAAACAGAAAAAAAAAATTTGTACATAGCTTTAAAGGAAATGCGTGTTTATATATATATATTATATATTATATATATATATATATATATATATATATATATATATATATATAATAAAGTAAATTATTATTCTAATTATATGAGGTTCCAAATATTTATTCTAGCTACGCGACGTAAAATAACTTATACTCATTCTGTTCGCTGGGTGAAAATAAAGACGGATCCGGAAAAGACCAGAAATTTTCTATCTCCGTTGACCTAAAGATGTCAGTATATTCCCTCATAGTAAATGGATTAGTTACAAAGAGCAGCCTCCAAGGTACAAGACTTAGAAAAGACAGAAGATGAAAGCAAATTTTTCCAACTATCAGAGAGGTTCATCCAGTGGACTGTTAAGGGCTGATACAGTCAGAACTCTTAAACG